CTGCCCGGGCTCTGCCCCGCCCTGACCCCTTGGTGGCCCAGCCACGCCGCGTCCTCAGCGCACAGGGCCAGCAGGGCCCGTCCAGCCCGCAGCCCCAGGCCACACCCACCTGGGGGCCCAGGAGAGGCCGGCTCAGCGCCCCAGGGGCCTCACCGGCCACCGCTGTGTCCTGCTGGCAGGGGGCTGGCTGCAGTCTGGACCAAGCAGCCCCTGGGTGTGTGCCCAGGTGGCCGCTGACCCAGGTGGCGGGGCGGGGCGTCTGCCCTCCAGTGAGAGGGGGGCTGCGGCCTCCCCCGCGGCCCAGCACTGTGAGGCCGACCCCGGCCCGGGAGTGACCAGGGCAGAGCCCTGTCTCCCCGCTGCCCCTCAGCAGAGTGTCTCCCTGGCTCCACCTGTTCTGCTCCCCACTCTGTCCCTGATGGCTCCTCCACCCTCTGCACCTGACCTGCACCCCAGTTCTGTATGCAGAAGTAAATCTTTAAAAAAATCAAAGCGCTGGGGCTGCACCCCGCCCATGGGCAGGCGCCCTGGGGGAGGTGAGGGGCACCCATGTCCCGCACCACCCTGGAGGCCGGGACACAGGGACGCCCGTGGAGCTCGACCCCCACCGACCCCCAAAGCGCCCTGGCCGAGGACACAGGCCGGCCACGCAGAGCCCGCACCTGAAGGCCGCCTGCCGCTGGCCGGGGCGGGGTCCCCCGCAGCTCCCGAGGTGCAGAGGAAGGCTCCGGAGGGCGCGTCGTCCCCTGCAGGGGGGACGCAAAGCCGAGCCACGCGTGACGGGCCGCGGCGGTGGGCAGCTGGGCGTCCCCCAGCAGGAGCGGCCCGGGGAGTCCCAGCTCCCGCCCAGAGCCCGCGACGACGTCCAGCCCACCGCTGACCTGGGCTGGCGTTTCGAGGCTCACGTAGGCCGAGCTCAGCCTGGGGGCAGGCCCTGGCGCTCAGGCCAGCCCTGCGCAGCTGCCGCTCTGCCAGCCGGGCCCCTGTGGGCAGGACCGTGGGGTCCAGTTAGACGCCCTGTGTGCCGCTCACGCCTCCCTCAAAGCAAACCTGAGCGTGTCCAGGCAGGCCCGGGGCAGCCGCTGGCGGAAGCAGAGGGCCGGGCCGCCGGGCGGGAGACCTGGCACAGACCTGCGCGTTGGCATGGCAGCCGGCCGCGGGCAGCCCCGCGCGGCCCCAGCCAACAGGCAGCCCGGGGCCACCACAAGGCGCCCCAGGAAGCGGGCGGGCTGTCTGGGGAGACGGCGGGGACGACGGGGCCTGGCACGCTGCCCCGGGCCCGACCCGCAGGCAGCCCCCAGACACACTCGGCCGCGGACACACGGACACGGCGCCGGCACGCGCGCTCGGCCCCGCTCACCAGGGTCTGCACAG